ATAATTATATATGACTATATATAGAGTTATATATAGTTAGATATAATTATATATAATTAGATATGATTATATTTGGCCATTTTTCATATATAATCATATATAACCAATTTATATGTAAATATATATAATTATATATAAATATTTTTTCTCGGGTAATAACACAAATAATTCAAAAGTTTAAGTTATTAATGTTTTCAAAGAAAATATAGACTAAGAAATAGTTTGTTTACGTATTTATTAGCATGTTACTATCTATCGATATTACACAATAAATGAGTTCATACAAAACTGTGAAAGCAAATCATAAATACTTAAATACAACTGGATGAAGAATATTTGTAACCTTGATCTACTGGTACATAAATACGAGTTTTATGATCGTTAGTATCCTCCTTTCTCTATCAGCACTCACTCAAGGTCATTGTCTCTATACGAGGATAACAAATTAATTATTAGCAACTATTGTTAATTATTTATTATCGATCGATGATTTTTTTATCGATTGATTGATCAGCTATAAATTAATAGACATAATTATCAATGATTTATTACTATGACTTTTGATATTATAAATTGGAATTTTTTGTCTATAGGTATATCTATTAATTATTATTAACAATACTATTGAATTTTTTCAGATTTTAAATTATTTAAATAATCAGGAAAAATGCATTTGTTGGGAAGTATTTTACTTGTCGTGAATTTTGTCTACTGCACGGCTTACCGCACGCCGGTGAATCAAATCCCCAATATTAATGGAAATGAAAATGTGAGTTACAAAAACTTGAGACTGGTTTATTCCTGGAAATCACTGGATTTTGTGTTTCCTGATGCTTGGACTCGGCAACAGGCTATCATAAACAGAGACTTTATTCCTGGGGCGCCCTTTCCGATTGATGTTGATGCTTCAGCTAGTAAGTAAAATTTCTATTTATTTATCTATAAAAGTAAATTCGTTAAAATTAAAAGAAACAATAACTTCCTGATTTTTGAAAATCTTTGATTTTCTTAGCGGGAAGTGAATAAAGTATAAAATTGCAGTAAAGTATGTGTACCCGTGTAAAAAAAAATCGTCTTAAAATTGTCGTTCGTTTAAGATCTTAAACGTGACACAAACTAAGACTAATTTAAGACTCTTTTAAGACGCCAAAACAAAAATTCCGAGAGCAGGTTTTGGAAAATTTTGTTCTCGAATTTGTTGTGAAAATTAATTTTTAGACGATTTTACGACTTTCTAACCGCAATATTTTTCAGTAAGATGTTTTTAAATTGAATTTAAAATTGTTAAAAAATTATTATCTGACAATTTTAAGACTTTTTTGAGACGTTCCGTTTTAATGTTCCGGGGCTCTGTCGCTGTTAGTCCATCTTAAAATAGTCTAAATTTTTTTTAAAGATTTTTTTAAGACTAATTTAAGATAATTTTAAGACAATTTAAAGACGCTCCATAATAATTTTCCGGAGCTGCCACTGTGATGTTATCTGAAAATAGCCTAAAAATTTTTTAATATTTTTTTTTCAGATTTCTTTAAGACTATTTTAAGATTTTTCAAGACTATATAAAAATTATTTTAAAAATTAAATCTTAAAATAGTCTTAAAAAAATCTTAAAATCGTCTTGAAAAAATCTCAAAATAGTCTTAAAAAGATCAAAATAATTATTAAAAAATCTCGGAATTTTTTTTTGTCATCTTAAAAGAGTCTTAAAATAGTCTTAGTTTGTGTTACGTTTAAGATCTTAAACGAACGACAATTTTAAGACAATTTACACGGGTAGTAACGAACTGTTATTCAATAATTAATTGTGTATGACATCAAAAATTCGTAATTAGAAGTGCGATTTAAAATATTTTGTTAAAAAATAACTAACTCCATTAGTTTTTGTTAAAATCAGAGGAATTATTTTTCTAAGTTACTTATAACCGGTGACCTTAAGTGATAATTTTTATGCTAATCAGTGATTCAATGTTCTATTCTAAGGCATTGACTTTTCAGTTAGCGCTTAGAAGATTGTGAAATTTCGTATAATTTAGAAAAAAACCCAAGTTAGATTGAAATTTCGTTACTTGGGTTTTTTATCATGACTCATGATTTAATTTTGAAATTATACAATACTGAAGAAAGTAACTCTTTATTGATTTTGTAAAAATAAGTTACACGAACAAAAATATTAAGCACCCCAAGGAAAAAAATAGAAAAATTATAGTTTCAAGTAACATTTTGTAAAATTCAATTCCAAATGTTGTTAGTTTTAAAATTCACTTTGTACATAGTTTTTAAGAATTTGATTTCAGATTGTATTTTTTTACCTTTCTCGAGCGTAATTATCGGAATTTTTTTAGTAACTTAATTGTTTAACTGATCTTGTTTTCGTGTAGGAAATCCTGAAAAAATTTATCGGTAAAGAGTATAAAAAAAAAATTAGAAAAACGGTTCACCCTAAAGGCCATCCCTGCAACTTCCCGCTCATTTTGTACTTAAACGCTTCAAACTACACATTACGTTTTTGAGCTCTTCGAGCTCAAAAATATTGTTTTTGTTTCAATTTGAGCTCTTCGAGCTCAAAACTCTAATAGCAGTTTAAAGACACAATTTTTTGAATTTTCAAACGGCAATAACTTTTGAATGAATGAACCGATTTTCACTCGGTTGGCGGCAATCGACGCAGTTTCTGAAGCTCCATGAAAAATTTCCAAGTTTAAATCGATCGAGCCAAGAATTTCGAAGTTATTACAAAAAAACACTTTTTTCGATTTTTTTCGACAACGATATCTCACGAACGTATCAACCGATTCTGCCGGTTTTGATGGCGATCCATGGGGGTTTTCAAGGTTAAGAGCTGATTAGTTTTTGAGACCGATCGGTTCAGCCAATTCGGAGATAGTTGAAAAAAATAAAAAAAAAAAGACGTACGGACATCATCGTAAAAATAGTCAGGGAAGCTTCCTGTGAACTTCAAACGTCGAGATCTGATGAAAACTCGATTTTTGTAAAACAGGGTGAAAACAATAACTTCCCGATTTTTGAAAATCTGAGATTTTTAGCAGGAAGTTAAAAATATAGGTTCCGGAAAAGTAATCACCACCATATCATATACTAAAACCTTCTCCAAAACACGCTGCATCTTATGGTA